AAAAAAAAAAAAAAAAAAAAAAAAAAAAAAAGTAGCTCTGCCACTCACTGGCTGCGTGGCTTCAGACAATATGATTTCTCTTTTTCTCCAATTTTCCATCTGTTAAACAGATAATAACAATTTAAGATTTTTGTGATTTGAGTGAGTTGATATTCTCCAAGCATTTTAAATAGTGCCTGACACATTAAATATTTGTGAAATAAATTAAAAATAGTATTTACCACTCTGTATTGTAACTGATGATTCATCTATATCATCTTTAACTAAAAGCTTCCTGTGGATAGTCTATGTCTAGCTTGCTCAGCATTTGAAGATCTAGCTGGGCTGTGACACACAGGAGGTACTAAGGAAATAATTATTGAATGAGATGTCTAGCAGTGGAATGGGCTGCCCAGGAGATGGTGACTTCCCTGTTGATGTAATTATTTAAGACAAGAATGTGAGGATCACCTGTCAGTGATGTTTCAGAGAGTATGTCTAACGCATGAGGCTACCAATAGTGGCTAAAATTTCTTCCAAATCTAAGATTGCATTATTCTATTTATACTTTTTCTTTAGAATTTTTCGTAGCCTAACAACAGTACCTCCATAATAAAGGAATTGCATCTTTCAGTACTTGCCACCTTCACCCTTAAATAGGTTCTAGCCTCTCCTTAAGCACATTATATGCTTTTCCCTTTGTTTAGAATGCTATCTTATCCCTGTCTGTTTCACTTTCTGTACACATTTTCCAGAAAGGCTTCCCTGTTCCTCCGTAAGAGGACTAATCATCCCTCACACGATGCAATAGTATTTTGGCTTTCTATTATCACATGTTATAAATGCTGCCTGATTGCTAACTCACTAAATTGTAAGCTGCTTGAAAGCTGGATCTGTGTCCTGTCTACAGATGTTTCCCCTTCCCCCTCCTCCCTTCCTCCTCCCTTTTTCCTCCTTTCATTCCCCTCCGCCGTCCTCCCTTTCTCCTTCCTGGAGGCGGGGCACGTCTTGCCTGCGTGCCCCGTAGATTGGCAGTTCACCAGGACAGCCAGCGCGTGCGCACTGGTCTGTGCGCGGCCGGTGGACCATGGAGGCCCAAAGGTCTTTCGCTGGGGAGTGGAGTGCCCAGTCCCTCCCCGTGGCAGTAGGTGCCGTTTTGAAGCTGCGGCTCTGTGAGCTGTGGCTACTGCTACTGGGTTCTGGTTTGAACGCGAGTTTTTTGCCACACGAAGAGGACGTAGACTTTATCAATGAGTACGTGAACCTCCACAACGAGCTGCGGGGCAACGTCATACCCCGAGGGTCTAACTTGCGTTTCATGGTGAGGCCAGAAGGCGGTTTCTCGAACCTCCCACGACCGTTGCCGCAACAACCCCCTCTCGGCCTCGAGAAGTCGAGGCGACTGCTCTGAGGCCGAAGGATCGCGGAGAACCGCACTTTTAGTTTGGATTTTAAAGCACACGTGAAGTTTATAAAGAGAAAAACCGCAGACTCTCTAACACATACTTATTACCATGATATTGCTCTGGGTCGGGACTAAGGCGATGGAGGCGCTGGCCTGAAGTGCAGTCTTTAAGGGGACGCCAATTAAAAATGATATTTTAATGCAACGGGTTTTTAAAAGTTAAAAATCAGTGCAAAAATATCAGTATCAATGATAAAGGAATTGTTTAAAAAATTAAAGACAGGATCCTTCGGTCTGGATTAGGGAAAAGCAAGTGCAACACTCTCAGGGTGGTTCAAATCAAGATGAGATCCTGTTTGTATTTGAAATCTTACAGCTTTTTCCATCACAAATGTCACATTAGCTTTGCCTTTTAAAAATACTTTTTAACTTGATTATTGTTTTTGTTTTTTGGTGCCCACTCCAAATTTGGCTCTTAAGGGAGTGTCTCAGCTCCCTCACCCTAGTCTTGACCCTGATTTTGCCTTCCCTTACAGTGCTGTTCTTGCTTTCCCCCTCTTTTCCATCCTGTAGTCATTTAACAGCTCATCAACCTTTCTCTGGTTGCTATGGAGTTTTCATGACTGTCATTTATAATGACTGCAAAATCCAACAAGTAAATAACTGTCCTCTTAGGGAATTAGAAGCTTCAAATTTATCTTATAAATTATATTGCAAGGACTACTTCCCTCGACATGTCTTTTCTTCCTTCAGCATTACTTCTTAGCACAAATTTCAGAAATGGGATAAATACATTAAGGGTATGATATTTTTTATTTACTTAATACATAGCAATTGCTATGTTAAAGGGCTGTGCCAAATTTAGCAAATACCAACTGTGTATAAATGTTCTTTTTCACCACATCTTCACTGACTTGGACATGTGCAATTATTTACTAAATAAATAAATTATAAATTTGTTTTAATGTTGATTTAAAAATACTATTTTGATAAGACTTACTTTAGTTCTTTCTTGTTCATTTCCTTTACCTTTTGTATTGTCAGCATTTCCATGTCAGATTATATGCTGTTTTATAGAAATATGCTAGCATTTGTGTCTATCTGCTGAAGAGACTTTTCTCTAAGCCAATTTTTTATCTTTTGAATTCAATTAAACAGTTTGGGGATATTTGGGAGTTTCAGCTAATTTCCAGTTTTTTTGTGACTAATTCTGTTTCTTCCCAATTTGAAGACTGTCCTTACTCCTGAAAATTAATAAATACAGAATACTTTCTAATACAACTTTTCATAGATTTTGTATGTCTCATCTCTAAAATTTATACGATATTTCAAACGTAAAGTATATAAAATAATATACCTGTATACCCACAATTGATATTTTTTATACGGACATTTTTTAATGAATAGTATTTGATGTATAGGTTAAAGTCCCACCCTAAATTTTTACCCTTTTCTTCTTTCTTAAAGTTAATGTATATTTTTCCCATGTATTTTACTAGGACCTAAGTATTAACTATAAATAGTATAGTCTGTCATGATAGTATGGTCTATTAAAAATGTTTCTTTAGCAGATTTGGGCATCATTCATTTTATTTTAATTCTTTTATTGGTTATTTTTAGTATTTTAATATATGTACTTTATAAATTCCAAAAGTTAATATCTGTAAACTCTACCCAAATGTTAATAAGATCTTAGAACACAAATTCTGAATACTTTCCATCCTTTTTCATGCTGTTTTCGTATAGTACTTTTGCTCTACCTTGCTTTTAAATACAAAAAAATATTTTTTAAATTGCATTACAACATACAGGACATAATAACATTTATCATTTTTAAGTGTCTACTCCAGTAGCAGCAAGTACATTTGCATTGTTGTGCACCCATTACCAGCACCCATCTCCAAAATATTTTCATCTTCCTGAACTGAGATTCCATATCCATCAAATAATTACTTTACTCTCCATTTTCCCCTCCCTCCAGGCCTCTATCACCATTCTACTTTCTATCCCTATTAATTTGACTTCTTAGTACCACATGTAAGTGGAATCTTACAGTATTTGTCTTTGTTACCAGGTCATTTCATTTGGTATAATGTCTTGAAGTTCACCCATGTTGTAGCCACATGTGTCAAAATTTCCTTTCCTTTTACATCTGAATAATATTCTACTGTATGTATATACAGCATTCTGTTTATCCATTCATCTGTTAGTGGATACTGACATTGCTTCCATTATTTGGCTATTGTGAATAATACTGCTATAGACATGGGTATACATTTATCTGTTCCTGTTCCTGCTTTTGCTGTTTCTGAGTATATACCCAGAACTGGAATTGCTGGATCATATGATAATTCTATGTTTAATTTTTCAAAGAACCCCCATTCTGTTTTCCATAGTGGCTGTACCATTTTACATTCCCACCAGGAATGTGCAAGGGTTCAGTTTCTCCACATTCTTGACAACACTTGTTATATTCTGTTTTATTTTCCTTATTCCTCTTTTTGTCTTAATGATAACCGTCTAGTAGGTATAAAGTGATACTTCACTGTATTTTTTAGTCTGCATTTCCCTAATGATTACTGATATTGAGCATCTTTTTATTTGCTTGTTGACCAAATATTTCTCTTCTTTGAAGAAATATATATTCAAGTCCTTTGCATACTTTTTGGCCAACTTGTTAGGTTTTTTGTTGTTGAGTTACAGGAATTTTTACAGATTCTGGATATTAATCTTTTTCAGATATATCATTCTCCCATTTTATAAGTTGCCTTTTCATTCTATTTATCAGTAGTACCCTTTGATGAACAAAAGTTTTTAACTTTGATGAGCTCTAATTTATCAATTTTTGTTGTTTGTCTGTATTTTTTGTATCATATCCAAAAAATCATTGCCAAATTCAATGTCATGAAGCTTTTCCCCTATGTTTTCTAAAGGTTTTATCGTTTTAGGTCTTTGAGTTAGGTTTTGTATATGGTGTAAGGTAAAGGTCTAGCTTTATTCTTTTGCATGTGGATATCCAGTTTTTCTAGCTTTATTTGCTGGAGAGATTGTTATTTTTCCCCATTAAATGGTCTTGCCATCCTTGTTAAAAATAATTTGACCATTTGTGCTGGCGTTTATTTTTGGGCCCTCTATTCCATTCCATTAGTCTAATATGTCTGTATGCTATTAATAGTTCCACACCAATTACTGTAGAATACTGATAAATTTTGAAATTAAGAAGTGTGTGTTCTCCAAGTTTTTTCATCTTCTTCAAGATTATTTTGGCCATTCAGGGTCCTTTCAGATTTTTTATTAATTTTATGATGTATTTTTGCAAAAACAATACATTATTGGGATTATTATTATTTGGGGATTATTATGTATTTGGATTGGGATTATTATGGGGATTTTGAAGGGGTTTCGTTGATTTGTAACATTTTGGGTAGAATGGGCATCTTAACAATATAAAGGCTTCCAATACATTAACACAAGATGTCTTTTCACTTTCAAGTATCCACCTTAATTTCTTTCAGTAATGTTTTGCAGTTTTCAGTATACATATTTTTCTCTGTTTGGCTAAGTTTATTCCTAAATATTTTATTCTTTTTGATGCTGTTGTGATGGAATGGTTTACCTGACTCTCTTTCAGATTTATTGTTAACATATTGAAAAGCAACTAATTTTTGTGTATTGATTTTGTAACCTGCTACTTTTCTGAATTTATTTATTGGTTCTAACAGTTTCTTGTGTGGAATCTTTAGGGTTGTCTACATATAAGATGACTGTGTGGCTATTTTTCTTCATTTTGTTAATGTGTTCTATCACATTGATTAATTTTTATAATTTGAACCATTCTTGGATCCCAGGAGTAAATTCCACTGGGTTGTCATGTATAATTCTTTTAATGTGCTGTTAAATTCAACTTCTTGTATTTTGTTGAAGATTTTTATATTAATATTCATAAAATATATTGGCCTATAGTTTTCTTATAGTATCTTTTTCTGGCTTTGGTATCAGGGTGATGCTGGCTTCATAGAATGAGTTAATACATGTTGCCCCCTCTTCATTTTGGGGGAAGAGTTTGAGAATTGATGTTAATTTTTCTTTAAATGTATGATAGAATCACCAATGTGATAGAACCACCAATGCCTTCATCTGGTCTGGGCTTTTCTTTGTTAGGAGATTTTTATTATGGAGTCAGTCTTCTTACTAGTTATAGGTTTGTTTAGATTTTCTGTTTCTTCATTACTACCTTTCGGTAGGTTGTATGTTTCCAGGAATAAATCTTCTTTTTTTCTTACTCAGAAATGTTTATCATTGCTAAATATTTATCATTTTTGTTGATTTTTTTGAAAAACTAGTTCATAGTTCTGTTGATTTTCTCTGTTGCTTTTCTGTTCTCTAATTTATTTATCTCTGCTTCAATCTTTATTTTTTCCTTCCTCTGGTAACTTTGGGTTTAATTTGATTTTCCTTTTCTACTTACTTATGGTGTACAATTAGGTTTTTGATTTGGAGTCTTTCATTTTTTTAAACATAAGCTCTTACAGTCATACATTTTCCTCTCAGCACTGTTTTTTTCTTTTGCTACATTCCATAATTTTCAATAGTTGTGTTTTCATTTTCACTTGTCCCAAGATATTTTCTAATATCGTTTGTTATTTCTTCTTTGATTCATTACTTAAGAGTGTATTGCTTAGCATTATTATTTCATTATTTTTATTATTATTATTTTGAGACAGGATCTCACTCTGTTGCCCAGGTTGGAATACAATGGTGTGATTTCAGCTCACTGCAGCCCTTGCTCCTGGGGCTCAAGTGATCCTCCCACCTCAGCCTCCTGAGGGACTACAGGTGTTCACCACCATGTCCAGCTGATTTTTGCATTTTTTGTAGAGACAGGATTTTGCCATGTTGCCCAGGCTAGTCCTGAA